GTGTGTGTGTGTGTGTGTGTGTGTGTGTGTGTGTGTGTGTGTGTGTGTGAACTTTGGGTTAAATGCCAAAATACTAATAAACATATTTCCATTGCAGTTTAAGTGATATACACTAAGCAATATAGAAATTATAAGATTTTAAAATTTCTACAATTTACCCTTCAAAACATAAGATCTTATTGTAATGTATTGAAATGTAATCTTGTAGATGTAACAGCCTTATTAAATAAGAAACACAGAGCCAAATGCAGAGTTAAATGCACAGTGATTCTGAATATGACCTAGTATGGAATGTGTTCAATAATAATGTCTTAGAACAAACTTGAGAGGGAGTGCTATAAATGTGTTATTGTAAGCATTAAAGCCAGGCTGTCTACTTCAAATCCCAGCTCTTCCAGTAACTACATGTCACACTACCCTATGTATCCTCTTAGTTTCTTTACTTACTCATGGGGTGATAAGATTATTAGTACTTACAGGTGTCCTGAGAGGATCAAAGACATTATCATGTGCACAGTGTTAGAACAGTGCTCAGCATACAGCAAAAACCTTGTAATTATCCTCTATTAAAAATGTTGAAATGTGACATATTTAGCTTTAATAGATACCTCTTTTGCTAATTTGTTTTCACGCGGCATTACAACCTCAGAAAAGTAGGTTTCAGTCATTGAGTTTAGTCTCCTCTACACGCTCGTTTTGATCTTTGAAACATCCAGGATCAAAACTACCATATCCAACATTTCTAAAATAATCAGCAAAATCTCCTTCCTTATACCAGTGCACGCTGCACCACTAATTATACAAACCCTGAAATCATAAAACTAGAGATATCACCTGCTAGCAGATGCTGCCATTGCTAGAAAATAAGATTTGATCAGTAGATGGGACAAGGAATTAATTAATAGCTTAAATTTGTAAACAAATAATATTATTTTATACCATCTAATATTTAAAGATGCTATATCACATGAGCAGTATATTTTCCAATAAAAATCCTGCAGTCCACTTGCTTTATATAATACTCTCCCTCAGCCTTCATTTTTCCTGTAGAGAAAACTCCCCATCTTCACATTACATGCAGATACAACTACCATGCTTCAAGGAATCCCTATGTACAATAGTATTACTGAAATCCTTAATAATAGATATCCATGCATGTCTTAAGCTAAGAATCTGTTTCATTTAATGTTTTATGCTTTTTAACTTAAAGTTTTTATAGATAAAAAAACTTCCCTAGGTGAATACTGTGCTTACATCATTTCTATTTCACTCTTATGTCTCCCCCACCACTCCCTCTCATGTTGATGACCTCATCTACAATTTTCTTCATTTTACACACACCCCACACACAGAGGACCTACTGAGCCCATTTTATGATGTTCTTATGTAAATGTGTTTAGAGCTGACCACATTTTAAGGATTGGATAAATTATCAGTGGACTCATCCCTAGGGGAAGAAGAAGGATTTTTTTCCTCTCTTGCAGTCATTGATTGCCTGTAGCTCTTCATCTAGAGACGAGGCCTTGTGAAATTTCCCTTATCTGCACCATCAATAGATGTTGTCATTATGCAGGTTTTGTTTAGGCAACCATCCATATTGTCGAGGTTTCCTGGTTGCAGCATCTCTCCTATCTAGAAGGCACAGCTCAGCTGTTAAAGGTTAATGCTCACATTTCTAAACGTGTTTTATACTTTTGTACTGTCTTTCTTCCTCCCCTCTGGCACTCAGTAACATTGATAGCAGCATCAGCATGACAGGAGGAGAAAAATCGTAGTTGCAAAAAGCATTACTGAGCTGCTTTTCAGAGCCTATCACGAAGCCATAGCTTTAGCATCACAGTACTTTGTCACAAGGGACATGAGTTTCATGGGTCTACTTCCACGGCCATAGCTGTAGAAACTTGATGAATACAGTACTTCTCAACTGCATCTTATTCTCCATGACTTAAAGCACAGTTGTTACATATCTGTCAACCTGAGTGTGAAACAGAACAAAAAGCACTGTTCATTATCCTTACCTGTCCTGAAAATCATAAATAACCTTTGTTAAGTGCCAGCCCTCTACTAACTGTTCTTACCACTATGATTCTGAGCATCTCTTCAAAATTCCAATTGCTTATACCTACTTTATGTAGTTTCACTAACTACTTAGGATTATGCAATAAACATGAAAAGAACAGTTTTTAAGTCACCAGGAAGACTTTTTATTCAAGACAGTTGTAACAGAGGCATTGCAATAAGGGAAGAGGGTCAGGCTCATCTCCAGATACAACAAAGACATGGTTTGAGTTGTAGACAGCAGCATAAAGGGGGCACTGTGTGGGGGAAATTACTAAAAGGAAACGTCAAGTATGGCACAGTTCTGATCTAAAAGAATTCTTACTAAAGCCAGACAAGAACAAGATGTCAAAGTAGGGAGATGAAGAACAGATGAGAAGAATGGGGGCGTGTTATAATCTAACTTAACAAGTTTTTTAAAAAAGAATAACCAGGTTGAGCAAGCCAAGGACAGGAAAGGGGCATGGTCCAGACTTAGTTACGAAGAGTGCTCAGAGGATCCTAAGTAAAGTTAGGTCATGGAGATTACCTTTGTAACCTTCTTGTTCTCTTGGGTCTGATCTCCAAAGTGGTATAAAAATATAGGGAAAGCTACAAACTCAAGACAAAAGTAAATATGTGACATTTTCTGTTAGGCACGTGGAGAAAGGAAAAAGAAACAGGCAAAATTACTTTTGATAATGTACTATACTTGATCCATTATTGGCAATTTTATCACTTCTATGAAGAGTATAAGGAAGTATCAATGAAATATCTAACATTATTTTCTTATAGTACCTATCCTAATCTGAACTGCTCAGTAGTAAAGAACTTGATGGCATGAGCAAGGCTCTGGGCTCAGTCCTCATCACTGAGAAGAGTGGGGTGGAAGGAGAACATCAGCCAATGTATAGCTACTGCATCAGACAGTGTGGGTCCAAAGTCTAGGACAATGAGTGACTACGAAGTACCTGGGAAAGGCTTATTGGATAAATGAATGGTAGAAATCCATTCACAGAAAAGGCACTTGTCTCCACCTAAGTGGTTAAGATGTTCTTTTGCCAGGTTTTACTCTCAAGTGTCTACTGTTAGGGAAAAGGATAGATGAATATTCCAAATAATAGTAGAATAGTACACTTCAAATATATTTATTAAACACTAAAATAATGATTAAAATATGTTAAGGTATTTATTCATTTCAAAGTTGATTGTTTTTGTTTTGTTTTGGGTTTAGGTTTTTATTTTTTATCTTATTTCTTTAATTGCAATACTGAATTATTTGCAAAATGAAAGCTCTGGTCTTTATCCTTCTTTTGTTGTTGTTAATGTCTAAAGTGGTTTTCACATTCTCTGTACAACAAAATTGTTTTATCTAATTTTTTCCTTGGATTCTATATTGAATACCTACCTGTGCATTATTTACTCACTACTAAAGACCAAGGTAGTGATAGCTAGATTCCTCAGCTAGGAACAGTAAGATGTTTTGATTTACTCTGTGTGTAATATCACTCCTGAAGGCTTCTATTTTCCATTATCCTTTCTCCCTCAACTAATGTGTTAAAAAGGAAGGCAGATGTCTTTCCTATTTGCCACCCAGTTAGGATATGTCCATCTGACTTGCCTTCTGTTTCCACTGTGAACACGTTCAACTATAAAATTGATGTGCCTTCACCAACTAACCTCTAAAACAACCAAGAGTCCAAAGATTTGTGAAAGTATTTATCTGACAATCTCTCTATGTCTCATGTAGCTCCATTTGATGGCTTTGTAGATCCAAGTTCAAAAAAGGAAAGGAATTAGAAAACTGAAACCTACTTTCAAATGGGCAGTAAGCTACATTTTTGTTCTTGCCTGGTGAGTGACAGGAAAAGAACGTAGCTTCTGGAGCCCTCCTCCCAATAATTAAATTTCTTGATAGAGACATGAACATGTTTTTGATGTAACTCATGAATTCTTTGGCAAGCTTTATAAAGACTAAATCAATGCTAAATCAGAGGTATTTACAACATCCACAAATTTAATCCAAAGAGGATACTTAAAAGCTCATATAGATCTAAATGATGTTCCCCCAGATGGTGAATTAATGTAATTTTAGCAGGAAGCAAAGTTGCACAAATATGCAATATCGAGGCCTCGCACTGGTTTAATGCATCTGAAGCCACCACAGCGCAGATGTTGCTTATCACATCGGTGCCAGTTGCCTGTCTCTCTCCACACTACAAAGGGAAGGATGGGATTTGGGAGTTCAGGAAAACATGATTCATTTTCTTACTAATAATTTGTCAGTAATTGAAGCTCTTGGTGACTCTTATATAGAAAATGATTTCGTTATGTTCTTTTCAGGGTTTGAAAGGTGACTTGGGTCCTCAAGGTCCACCTGGCCCAAAAGGAGAAAAGGTATTGTATCTACTCCCAGAGTGTCCCAACTTTATTTTAAGATTCCCCCCCAAAACTGAGTGACTTCTTGTAGATCCCATCCAGTTGCACAAACATCCTGAGATGAATGGAAGGCTGTTCTATGAAAAGCCTCTGCATGAGGAAAGCCTTTTGGTTGCTTTAGTGTGAGAGACTGTGTGTGCCATCACTAGTTGACGTTAACACGCGTGTATAACCGGTTTCTCACCTTTACTGAACAGCATGAGGTGTTCCAACACCACATTAGCAAAGGTGTCCTATGTCAGGAAACTCAGCCAACAACACGAAGCTGTCACCTTAATAATCAAGCAGGTGGCTTCAGAGGGAAGGAAGCGAACTTCATACCTCAGCTTTAGATTAAATGCTCCATTTCTTGTGTACCATTCTATATCAGCATTTTGGCAGTGACCTTTCAGTGAGAGCTAACAAATATTAAAGGTAAGGGTTGTATTGAATAGGGTAATTAAGCAATTCTGATTCCATGGGAGTTGTACATGTCTGCATTTTATTTCTCCATGGTCATCAGATGCAGAATTCCTTGTCCATCTTAAAACATTTATCTCTGAGTTAGAGATGATCTCACAGAGCAATCCTTGGGGACCGATTTTAGTTTCTTAACAACTGTTGTTTTAGTGCAGCTGTCCCCAAATAATGAATATACAATGCTATGTCTTAAAACTTGAGATAACTAAGTTTAACGAGAAAAAGAGAAAATCCTAGATATACTTGACATGACAGTCCCACAGCACGCAGGAACATGGATTCCATAATGTTCAAGGCAACAAAAACCACAGCAAGGACACTCAGTCCTAATGACACTAAATGAGTAGAGCACCTAGACAGTAGAACACAAAAGTGACATATCATGAACTTGTGGGTGCTTTTTCAATGACTTTTTGTTTTTAAACAGGGTCTCACTGTGGAACCCTGGTTGGCCTGGAACCTGCTATGCCAATTAGACTGGCCTTAAAAATCATGGCTAACCTCTACCTTCCCAGTGCTGGGATTTAAAGTGTACACCACGACCGCCACAGCCAGCATTATCAAAGACTTTTTCACAGTCAGTACACACGCCTAGAAACCTGCATTCACACAGGTCAACAAAGCAATTCTAGCACTGGAAGTTACACAGAAGGAGGAAAAGCCTTTGAACACTGAAGGCAGAAGTGATGCCCATTCAGCAGAGCCTAGGAGAGGTGGTAGGAACCGTTCTTCGCAGCTGGAAGGCACAGAATGGGGTGGGGGGAGAACCCACTTATTATTTCTGCTGATGCTCATACTAACTTTGTCAGATAAATTATCTGTCTCTATGACGCTTCCCAGCTGCTCCGTTGGCGAGTAACCATATTTGGAAAGATAATTTTTTTTTCTAATTTTGGATTTGTAGTCAAAAGAATAGAAAATTAGATTATTTTAGTTTTTCAAAACACGTTTTGCTACCGCAGAAAGCACAAGGGCACACGAGGCGATTTTTATATCATAAGCCCTAAAAGGAACATAATGAAGCTCTCATTGAGCAGAAAATTTTTCAAGGAAAATTCTATTTTTGTGTCCATTCAGATTATGAATTTGGTGGTAGGGAAATGGGGGTAGGTCTGGGAGGAATTGGGGTGTGTGGGAAGAATATGAGCAAAATATAGCATATGAAATTCTCAAAGAATAAATAAAACCATAAAAAAGATTTATCTGTATATATTGCTTCTTCCCAAAAACCTTTAAATAATGTGCAAAAAGGTGCTGTTGGTTAATTGCAACTTTTCTTTCACCTATTTTAGGGTGATATGGGACCTCCTGGGCCACCAGCCTCAACTGTAAGTATTATTAAAGCAAAAAAAATTAAAATAATCTATTTTCTATTCATACTAGCAATACAATTTAAGCCATGTAGTATTGTGGAATTGATAGTGAAATCTGAATATGCCTAGCAAACCTTCTCATTTTATAGATGGATTTCTGCCCTGAGCAGTGAAGTACTTGACCCAAGGTCTTAAGGTAATTTCTTACAGGAGTCTGTAATCAGTATCTACCTCAAACAATTTTCTACATCTTTCCCATGGTTAATAACCATGCCCCTGTGTTTTATTACACATTATTTTGTAATAAAATATATATTATGTGTAAAAGGAAGTAGAAAGTTCTACTTAGCCTAAAAATTATAAAAGTGACACTAGATATAACCATCCAGTAGGGAAAACAGCTAGCTCCTTCCTCCCTTTTCTTT